TGATCTAGGTTTCATAAAATACAAGCTGTGGGTGAGGAACACTATCAACCTCTGCATTTCTGAAGCAGAATATATTGATTTTTTTTTTTTTCCCAGAAGAAAATAAAGTGGTCTTAAGCTACATTTAGGTGCCCTTTGGACTTGATGATTCTTATGGGTCCCTTTCAACTTGAGATACTCTATAATTGTCATGAAGAACCTACAGTCTCTAACTTTACCATTTTTCACCTTCAGAATAAACCCTAAACTAGAATGATCTTAAAAAAAACCCCAACAAACCAAACCACACACCACTATGCTATACCCACTTGCAGCACCTAAAACCAATGTAATAATCAAAACAGGCACTAACTTATCCCATCGGCTGAGGAATGGAGGTTTGAGCTGCTGGTTCAGTCATTTATAGGTCCTGCTACAAAGAAAGAAGGCCTGAGCAAAGTGCATGTGTTGGACTTCCCAGGTCAAACTGCTCTGCCTTTGCCTTGGCTCATACAGATCAGAACAAAAAAACATTAAATATACAACAAACCAAAAGATTATTAACTTGTAAGGAACACTTTCATGGTCTGGTGAAGCTTTCTTTGTGAAAACCATTGTGTTTGCAAAAAATACTGACTGCCTCTAGCCCTTTCAACAGGAAATTTCACTTTTCTGCAATCCCTGCTGGATCACATGTTGGACACTCAAATATTGAACATAATGTTTATTTTCAATACCAGTACTGTGTCCTTTTCAAATACATTAAAATAAAGGTAATTTTTGTAATTTCTCTTTTCAGGTACAATACTTGTGGCTTTTATATGGGATGAAATCCTTCCTCGGATATCCTGAGACATCAAATTCTGAAATCTAGCAGTAATAGATTTAAAAATACAACATCTGCAGACATGAAGCTTTCAGAAGACTGTTGATATCAGCTTCCATGGCACCTTTCAGTTGTATTTTCAGATTTTATGTTTGAAACAATTTTGTATTCAAACATTTTGTAATAGCATATTGGGATTTTGAGACTATCTGCCTACATTTTCAGTTAAGCCATATGAAGGACTGTTAAAACATTGAAACTGTCACTTTAGCCATAAGTGCCATTTGCTGACCTTTATTACAACAGCATGCAAAACTAATTTTAGATAAATACCTAGTCCTTTATTGGGATTTCTTCCCATAGAAGGCACCTGCAAAAAAGGAGCTGAAGATTTCATTCTTACATTGACCTCACCATATTCCTACTTGCAATATACATACTTCAGAGGAAGAAAGGCTACACTACTCCCTAGAAGAGTCTCTACAGCTCTATTCTAGAGGTACCCTACACCAAAATTAAAAGTCTGTAGGACCAGCATTGTTTTAATAAAACCCGTGTGCAGGTAAGTAACCCCTCGCTTCCTTTCCAGAAGGTTCTGCCCCATCCTGTCCCACTGTTGAATGTTTATTTTAGTTGGAGCGAGCCATAATAAAGTGCCATAAAATTTTATAGCCACACACGTAAAGGGGCATTTTAGGCAAAAAAACCTCTGCTACTTTATCTGAAAATACTGCTGCCTCTTCACGTAGTAAAATAGACAAAGGGATGAATCCTGTGGAGCTTGATTTGTCCTTGATTTTGTGTAACATCATTATTTTACTTGAAATAAATGAATTTCACAGAATTACAGAATCATCTAAATTGGAAAAGACCTCAAAGATCATCCAGTCCAACCATTAACCTGACTGTTCTCAACTCCACCAGATCCCTCAGTGCTGGGTCAGCCCAACACTTCAACCCCTCCAGGGTTTAAAGGGCAGCCCCTTCCAATGCCCAACCACCCCTTCCGGAAAGAAATACTTCCAAAGAGCCAGTCTAACCCTGCCCTGGTGCAGCTTGAGGCCATTCCCTCTTGTCCTGGTGCTTGTTACTTGGTTCAAGAGACTCATCCCCCCTCTCTGCCCCCTCCTGTCAGGGAGCTGTAGAGGGCGATGAGGTCTCCCCTCAGCCTCCTCTTCTCCAGACTGAACCCCCCCAGTTCCCCCAGCCGCTCCCCAGCAGACCTGTGCTCCAGACCCTGCCCCAGCTCCGTTGCCCTTCTCTGGAATTTGTAACATAGGAGAATAAAATAGCTAAACCCACAGGAAAACTGTATACACAAACTGGTACAAACACTTTACAGCCTCCACTGAGGAGAGCACCACTGATAGGTACCATATTCTGAAGTTCTGTTTCTAGCATAAGGTTTCTTCTGGATGCATCCTAATTTTCATTTATGCCAAAATATATTTTTCAAATTTAAGACTAAATTCAGTTTTTCACTTTACGGTTACTAGTGTGAGAGATGGTTAACAAGTTCTACAAAGATCTCAGTAGTAGGGCCCCTGACTCATTACCAAAGTCACTTTGCAGACCATATTCTAAGAGAAAGGAAGGGAATCAGGGCTTTTTTTCCATAGTAAAATGATGAACCAAGTCTTAAACAGCTACTGTTGTCAGCTACCTTCTTTGCAAGAGTTTGGGAAGGGAATATTTTTCATGTAATTTCTTACTTGTTGCAATAAAATCTTTTCTCCTTTTAATTTTCCAAGGTACATGCAAGTCTGTATTACAAAATGAAATCAGCTGAACATGCTTTTTGTAGAAAAGAGTCTTATACAAGACCCTGTATTCAGTCATTAAAATTAAAAAAAAAAAAAAAAAAAAAAAAAAAAAAAAGTAGCCTGCTCATATGCCAAAGAGAACTAGAACTGCTGGGTTATTCAGCAGCATTTGATACTAGTGTGAGGAAGCCCGCTAAAGCAAACTTCTCTTGGATGAAACTTCACAGCAAGGACTACGCACCACCACACTGAGCGCCCCACAGGATGGGATCCTTTAGCTGGTTTTACAGTTCATCCTCTTACTTATAACTCAGCCACAGAAGGCTGCTAGAGCAGAAACCCTCTGAAGAACACGTACTGCTTCTAAAAAAGATGGTTTGTGAGGCTTCTACCTGTCACCTTCTTGCTTTAATACTTTGTATCTCTTTTACCTATTTTTAAAGTGATCCGTATCTTTGAGATTTTTTTTTTTTCCCCTCCATGGGACTTTGCCTTTACTGGTGTACTCACACCCAGTTTTTCGCCTCATTTCTTGCAGAAATAAGTCTTACATGATGAACTGATTTGCATGTCTCCTTTGAGCCCATGAGGCTCATGGGGTAAAGGTCTCAAAAATAAACTTCAGAGCATAAAAAGAGGTGGCCAGGGAAAAGAGAAAGCAGAGATACAAACTAACCAGCAGCCAAGATTTATTGGCTTAGAGGCCTTACTTCCACGTCATTTCTGACAACCTGCAAAAGCAAAGTCCATAAAACAAAGAGGTCAGATCTGACTTCTGTATGTCGACGTTGTTTATTTTAGCATAACATAGTTTAAAAAAACTGGTACAAATCTGGTTGATTAACAAGTAGTTGCTCTATTTATAGCCACTAGAATATAAAATAAAAACCACTAAGAAATAGACAAGCCTTATATTGACTAAATTAAGGCAAAACAAAAGTAAAAAACCAAGAAGTATTAAAATGAAATTCTAAGTTAGGAACTGAAGAATTTAACTGGTTTTGGTAGTACAAAAATTAATATTTTACATTCCAAGTAATGAAATTGAATTATGTGTGTTCCCAGAACACTTGCACATAGCTTCAATACAAAGTTTTATTAAAATTAAAACTTGTCAATCCCCACAAGACACTTCCCAAAGTTTTATTAAACATAAAACAATTATTAAAACAAAAGTTTTATTAAAAATAAAACTTGTCAGTCCACACAAGACACTGCCTTCAGGGCTCATCCAGGTTTGTTTCAGCCTGACCAAAATTAACCTTCCTCCACTGATTTGACTGGAAGCATCATAAAATATTTGCTCCTGGAGCTCTGCACCAATACAACACAAATTCTCCTTTCTGGAGCTTCCTACTGCTCGGACAGAGCGTGAGAGTACTGAGATTTGCTGCGTATAGTCCAGCTGCCCGCCCTGTAGATTAACTCTGCCCATCTCCCAGGATATTTAACCAGTAGTTCGCATTTTAATATGAAAAACAATAGAAGACCAGACTCCAACAATTAAGATATACACCAGAAAAAAAAAAAAAAATCAAAGGCTGTTTTAACTTATGAACAGGGATTTGGAATTGTATAAGCTTTCTTTTCTAAACTATGATACAACATTTTAGTACTCCTTAGCTCTCCTGAAATCTCACCATGCAAAGATTCTCCAAACCCCAGTGCAAAAATTGAAGCATCACTCTGTGCCCTCCTTTGTTACTCTGTATCCCTAACAAAAACATGCATACATTTACATATTTATACATATGTGTATAAAGGGGCTAAGGACGACATTCTTGTAGAATGCCTTGTTGCGTAACATGCTAAATTCCTATTTTATTCAGCAGCGTCAATAGTTCACAACACTATTAAATCATCACTAATTAGACAGGCATTGCTAATGAATATTCAACAAAAAGTGGTTATAATTTTTGGGTACCTTGAAACCAAACCATATCCCAGCGTGCTGAGCAGGACAGGACCACTCAATTCCAAGAGTATAGGGCGGGTAACGAAAACAGTTCATATACACAATTAAATAAAAAATTCATAAGTCAACTTCAAATCAAATGAAAGTGGAAAAAGTTTAGTACTAGACTTCCATTTTAATACTGGGGCAGGGGAACCCAAACGTAATTTGTTGCCGTTGCCTCATGGCAAAACCACAACCATGCAGAGAGGTGAAACGGTAGAAGCCCCAGCAGGACTAAGCTCGTGACAATCTAAAGCTGGGTTCCTAAGTTTAGGATGTGTCAGACTAATTCTGTCTTACAGGTGCACTCTGCAAAAATTCTGCCTTTTTATTCTTAGATCCAGGTATACAATGAAAATGGCTTCACTGGACTTTTTTTTTTTTTGTTATAGAAGAGAGTGCTAAATACTCAAGGGATGTCCACTCAGAGTTGTCAGCCACTTGCTGAAGTAAAGGACTGAGAACTGCAACAGACTTGGATGTGAGATACAAAAATCTTAAGTTTATTTAATAATGTTGTTAACATTTAATACAAAGACACAAACCAGTCCTCTTTCAGGACTTTACAAACCATATTCCATCTCTTCTACCACCCAAACCCTGCTCTCAGAGAAATGAAAGAGAGAACACTGAACTGATAAAAGCCAGTTACTTGAGGGGCATTAAATTTCGCTTTGCTTTTTAATCCTTGGCCAATCCTATTTCCTTTCAGTTGAACTTTGTAACATTTCCGTTTCCACTCTACCCACTGAATGAACAGGTACAAAAATATGAAAAATTCTAGGACAATCTAAAATTCTGTTCTACTTAGTTTTATTTCCTAAGTCCTAGAATTCCTACAAAGGCTTCTTTGAAATGACCCCTGATTAGCCCCATTCAAGTGTTAGATGCAAGAGGTTTTATTGTTTGATGTTTGTTTTGTTTTTTTTAAATAACTCCATAGTGGTCACAAATGTCAAACCCTGTTTTAAACATCTATAAAAGCATTTTATAGACCTAGATGTCTAAGCTTAGGTCATTAAAAGAAAGGTTAACTCCCGATAGTCACTGCAATGCCTTCAGTTTTACAGCTTATTCTGGAAGTGCCACAAGAAGAATCTGAAATATACAAAGACAACAAGTTTAAATGATTGGCATTAAAATAAGAGCTTATTAATCTTTACAGAGTAGTAGCTGTCCATTGTTTGCACTGACAGAGGACAGCACTTTGCTGCAAGCCCACTAATTTTCAGAAGGGCTGAGCATCTTTGCCTTTGGCAGCAGCTCTAAACTCAGGTCACCTAAGGACAGCACACGCTTACAATCCGCAGTTGTAATCCTGGAAGACCCCGCTGCACCCTCCACACCCAAACACACCAGTTGCTTCAGAACAATTACTGCAACTTTGTGAAACGACAGACAAAACACCGCTTATGACGTGACCAGTGGAAATGTCCCACAATCAACTGTTGGCAAGTCTTCAGGAGCTTCAGAGGGCAACTGTCACATCTGGTTTGGGTAATGAGCAGTAACATGCAACACAAGGGCATTGCTTTAGAGGCAGGGCAGCACGTTGCTCTCTAAAGGATCACCAAGATGTTCTTGTAGATTGTTCTTGCAGTTTAAAAGGGCCAAGCTGCTCCACAGAGTACCAAGATCACGGCATGCTCCCTCTCTGCCCCTATTTTCAGTGTAGAACCAAGCCACCCTTGTGCTTAAACCTGTTAGCAGGGTGATCAGCACAGACCTGCAAGAGCTGTTTGTGTCACTCCAAGCCTTTCACTGTTTCTGGCTCCCGTACATCCTGTATTTTGAACTTACTTAAATTACATAACTGCAGTCAGGCTGGTGGTTACTCTAAAAAGACCCATCGTACCCACAGCTCCCAAACTACTACCTGGAGCAACGTCACTGCAACACTTGATGCTGCATGTGCGGATCACTTGATCTGCCCTGACAGGGGTCAGCTCCTCAGCAATGATCAGCACAAGCAGAAGGACAGGAGGACTCCCTACCCAGTCACCTCTCACAGCATTCATCTCCCACTGCCACTTGCCATACCATGGAAGGCACAGAGTAAGCAGCAGGAAGAATTTCACTGACCAAAACTACTTTAGGGTATTACAGGGTGTATTTTGCGCTTTGCTAGAAGACCCATCAAACACTACTTCCACCAGCACTTCCAGGCTCCTTAGAGATCTGCTACCAGCCACTAACCGTCCTTAATCCAGCTCAAGTTTAAACCACAGCAATAACCATTCAATTTTCAACAGCATGATTTTTATTTTAAACCATAGACTGAAATAATCTTGGAGATGGAATCATCAGTCAAGCTTTCCATTCACTAAGAGGCACTTCATCTACAGCTGAAGTTTTCCCTAATTTTAAAATCTATCTTTTATCAAGTAAGATAACCATCCAGTGGTGGGGCAATCAGTATCTTGTCTTTTTTTGGAAGAACTCTGTACTACACAGTCTTTGCCAGGGTAGGAAGAGCAACTGAAGAAAAGTTTGAGCTCTTATACCAAACAATAAATATTAATTCAGGACCAGTTGAGATCAGAAATCTCAGAAAGACAGAACTGCAGAAATTCAGAAACAATGAAAATTAAATGACAAGAGGAAAGTGAATGCACATCACCCCTCTGCAACAGCCTCAGGGACTGCAGCCTCTTCCTCAGTGACACTGTAATCTAACCAACTGTTTCTGACCCATTTCTATGAACTTTTTTCAGCCTGTCATCTTATTTGTGGCCCTTTCCTCCCCTGCCCCTTTTTCTTTTTTACTCCCACAACCTTTTGGCTGTCTGTCCCATAACTGTTTTCTCTGGCATTTTGAGCGGGATAGCTCTGTGCTCACTTTAAGGTGAAAGCTGGCAGTCTTACTTCTGAGCGAGGCAGAAACACTGGGATAACCGCCACATCTTGTAATGCCACTAACATGAAAAAAGCAGTACAGGTGATGGTAAGCAAGAGGGCACACTGGCACAACCACCTAAGCAGGGTGTTGTCGTGAAGCTGTGCACTTCTGACAACAATCCCATCCAGACAGCTCAGTAACTTTACCGGGAACTGTTCCTGCTCCACTTACAGCGAAGGAAGAGATGGACTTGCAGCACTATGAAATGTTCTGCCCCCTTGAAAGGCCTGGGAAATCTTGCACGCTAAGGGTGAAATAACAGATACTAAGGACAGTAACTTCCCAGAAACAGCTCCAGCATTCACCTATCAGCATCTACAAGCCCTTGAGATTGCACAAGTCTTAAATCTACTAAAGGGCTGACCTGTCTTCCAGACTGGCACGTCCAGCCAGGTTACCCACACAGTGGGATGGTTTACACAGACAGAAAATTTTGGACAGATCATTAAACATCTTTCCATACTTGTGCTAACTACAGCTACCTTCCCCTTCTTGATCACCATCATCCTGACATCACACGATACTTCCTGTAGGAGATCTGAGATCGCTTGCATTCACAAATTACAGAGACAGAAGGTTCTGCAGGACCGAAAAGCATTGGTGTTGGGAGACAGAAGAACTTACAGGAGCATATGTCCTCCTCAGTGATCGACTTCTGCGTCTTCAAACTGCCCTGCAACCACTGGTGCTATGTCCACCTCCATCCCATCTGAAAAAAAAAAACAGCCAACGATGCCATCACATGAAAGAGAGCGAGTGCCCTCTGTTGACAAGAGATGGCCAGGACAGAAAACTCCTTTGCTGAACTCGGGAAAGTGGCCGAGAAAACGGATGTGCTCACAAGTTTGTGGTTTTGTTCCAGCTCTCAGTCAGTCATTTAACCACATCACTGCTTCCTATAACCTCATCTCACCCTATCTTATTAAAAGACTTCAATGCTGGATTTAAAACGTTTAATTTTTTTAATGATGTTTCAGTTCTAACAAATGGCGTGATTCCTTTTAATAGCTTTAATTGTGCTCTAACAAAAAGAGGCTGGATCCTGTTCTGAAACCGCTCCCAGCAATCATCAAGTTGAGAAAAGGAACAATCGCTCTGTACTATAATGTCAAAAATTAACAAAATGCTGTAACTGAGCAGCCCTGGGGATATTAATAATTGTAGCAAACCAAGAAACAGTACCATAGCAAATAAGATTAGGAAGGCAAAGCCAATCTTCATCAGTTTTAAGACATGTGACATACTTGCTGCTCAATTAACTTCAGCTGTCAAAATTTTGAGGTTCAGAAACCTGACAAAATTTTCAAATGAAGGGCACCACTAACACACAAGTTTATCACCTAAGGTTATCTTTATATAATTTTATTCAAAGTTGAGGAATAAATAGAACCTGTAAACAACTGACAAAATAAATACATTTAAAAATCATCCATGTGGATGAGAACAATTGGTTATTATTCTATTGACTACTCTAGGCAAGCTGATAGCTAGAAATTTACAACAGCTCTATCATTTTTCATCCTTCAAAAACATCAAGCCTTACCAAAGCCCTGCAATTTATGTCAAACAAAGAAGGAATACTATTAAACTACTTTCCTGTCCTCCCAGGTATATATTGCTCCAGTGAAAACAGCATGCAGAGAAGGCAAAATTTGAGACACTGGGATTTTTTCTGACAAAAAGAAACCCTACCCTTTAAATATATGTTTGAACAATGAGTAGCATTAAGAGACAGCATCCTTCAGAAAAGCAAATTTTTTTTTAAAATGTGTTTCAGTGTATTTCGATGAGTCTGAATTCACACAGAGAGAATTATTAACTTATTAACTTACAATGTTGGGTAATTAAACAAAAAATCCCCTATTACCTGTTTAGAGTAGAAATTGCTTCCTAATCCCAGTGTAGGCTGACAGGTGGGTTTTGGTTTTTTTTTTTTATATCCTCAGTCAACTTCACCCTACCACAATTCCTGGAAATCATACCAGGTAAGAATCAGTAATTCCTAACACAGTGATCCTCCTCCTTTCACACAGCAGCCCTCAATCCACGGCAGGCAACACGCTGCCCGTAGGGCACCACAGGCATTTTTATACCCTGTGGTTGTGAGCAAAGATAAAATCACAGTTGATGCACACAGCGTGGTAAGGCATCACCCGCAGCATGACACTTGCTCAGTCCTGGTGTCTGTGGATTAGCCAGACTGGAGAACCACTGTTTCATATATTCCTCAGTAAAAGAAAAGCATTTCTTACCTTCAAATTCCCTTATTGAGTTTTCTGTTCTCACTCCAGCCATGTTGTACTGGCTGCTGACAGACTGGGCTAACATGCCCTCTAGCCTCTCCAGAGTGGCCTGACCTTCTGCAGTTAAATGCGACAATCCTTCTTCGTAAGTGTAAAAGGTCGGGATGTCACCTTGCTCCAGCTCTGCAAAATCAAGTTTATGTTTATCAGACCTAAGTTAAAGAGCCTGTATCAAGCAGGGGTGGAGGAATAGGACAACAGCTAGGCAAGTTACGCTCAGATTAACTGACTGAGATTAAAAGGCTGTTTACGTCGGTTACAGAATACACACAGTGATGCGAACTCACGGCTGAACTTGTGTGAGCTCTTCCACTGGGAAGAGAAAAAGGCTGGTATTTGTGTCTCGGGGCTTCTGACGACGAGAACAACGTTTTTGCTAAATTCCAGTGATTAGTGACAGCTAAACTACAGATTTTCTGCAGATTTCTGAGTTTTTATACTGTGCTTGTGGCAAGAATAATGTTTTGGTAAGATGAGTAATTAACAAGGAACTTCAAACCATTTTTATGACAGATACCGCAGGAGAAGTTCCAGATATCCACGTGCTGACAGGTATTTCAAAAGAAACAAACTGTTACAAACCGTGGGCCTCAACATCGTACTCCTCCCCTTCGTAATCGTTGTCCGAGTCTTCGTCGTCAGGGTCTGGGTGCAGAGCTTGGCATTCACACATGGCTGTAAACATGGCTTCCACTACAGGAGCACAAACAAATACAAACCTCCCTCTTTCTCCAGCAATACCCCACAACAACAGGCAAGAAATCCTGGACTGGGTGATGAATGAGACTGAGAATATTCCTTTACCAGAACCACCACTGAATTTGTACTTGAAAGCATCACCCAACAAGCCAGCAGCCACGCAAGAAACAAACCAGGTTTCCTAGATCCAGCCTGGTGCTTTATCCTTGTACAACACTCTTCCATTATTTCACTAATGATAAAGGCTTATCTCTGGACAGTTCAGTCTGTGGTTACCCACTACAGGATTCCTTACAGCATCTAACACATAAGATTCTGAAAGCTTGGATCCAACTGTAAGCTCCATACCGGACAGGATTTCCAGCGGTGGTGTCTGGACATTAGCAGGTCCCTAATGAAACTCTCGCTGACTCAAACATCACTGAATTTGGAATTAAAAGATGTTTCCCATACAAGCTCTCTGCAAATATATATAGATAAGATTATCTGTGTCATGTATTTATACTTAAGTCTCTATTCCAAAGCACTGGAATTCTTGCAAAGCAGCTACTTGAAATATTCCAGCTTCAAGCAAGATAAAACAATGTACTTTGTTCTTTTCAGCACACAGAAATCAAGTAATTAAAGGAGGACACTAAAGAATTGCATCGTTTACATCTCTACACCCCAGTGTCTTCCACATTTAGCCAGGACTTTAAGCTAAAACGCCATTTCCCTCTTCACTTACAGGCTGATTTGTCGCTAGGTACAAATCTGAATTCCACAATTGGTTCATCATCATCGCTGTCTTCCTCCTCCTCCCCTTCAGTCATGGGAGCCTCTTTTGTCTCCTCTTCTTTAGGAAATGGAAAGATTTAAGAGAAACATGTTTATTTTGTCTCCAAAAAAGTCAATTTTGTTTATTCTTTCAGGAACACACGTAATCAAACCAGAAGCCTGGACACAACCTGAGAGAGGCACAAAGCAACCCCTCCCCATCCACATTACAGATACAAGAGATCCTCTCACAGCACTGTGACATTTGTGACACACACACAAACTTCCCTACTTGTAATGTTAAGATTTTAGATTTCTGTAATGGTCACCTGACGTATTCACATATTTCAGGAAAACTGCCTGATTCTTATTAAAAAGAACTGTACTCAAAAGAGCCCCATAATTCACAGACATTATCATTTACATGCAAAACACTATATATGTATTTTTTAAATCACTTTAATTTTATGGATCCTTAACATTACTGTCATGAAATCAATTGCTTCCAGGGTGGCCTCTCACGGAGGACCCTGAGATTTATAGAAGATCTCTACTCGATTTCTGACATTCCTGACCAGCCAGCAAAATGGCAGAGGTAGAAAGTGCACCCAGAGCCAATGACAGCTGTGGGCAAAACATTTCCTTCCCAACTCCTGTGCCCCACATACATGAATAAGTAAGCAACAACATGACGTTTTTCTTTCCATAAATATAAAAACCCCAAAGAAGATGGTTACAGGTCATCACATTGTGGCTGGGGACACTGCACTGACAGCCTCAAAAGTGCATCATTATTTTCTACAGAAAAAGAAGAATACAGTTAAAGCTGTTCCACTGAGAGCGGCTTTTATCACATACAAAATTGGCACCACCAAGAATAGGAAGAAGCCAAGAAGCTGCCAGCCAGCAGCCCCAAAAAATGAAATGTCCAAGGAAGATACCCAATCCTTTTCCAACTGACACCCGCAGGCACAGCTTGTTACTGCTCAGCCCAGCTCTTTGCTTTCAATGAAGTCAATCTCTCACTGGCTTCTTCTAAAAAAGGGGTGAGGATAAGGCACAAACACAATGAGAGCCCGACAAAAACTTTCAGAGGAGGAACAAAATGTACCCTGCCCAACTAAGAATGAAGACTCCAGCAGCCAAAAAAGTAGAGAGGTTTGGGTTTAACACTACTCAGCCGTTACGTGTGCAGGCCAGGGATAGACCTGAAAACTAAACAAATCTACTTGCTCTAGAAAATTTACTGTAGCCAGAGTTCATATATTAAAAAAAAAAACCAAAACCCAAACACAAATATCAGCCTATTAAGGATTTACAGATAAGAACTATCACAGCATATCTGTGCTTTCAAACACAAAATGAATTAAAAGCTGGAAACAGTCCTTCTTCAGAATAGGCTCGGTTTACTTCAAAGTAAACACCGGTAAAAGAGAGAAAAGAACCAAGAGGTATACGTATATGTCCTCTTATTATTTGTAGTGATAGACTGTCAGAGACCATTACGAACACGAGAGAAGGAAATAATGAAGAGTATTAATAGCTTAAAAATGCCTCTGTCTCCTCAGAGTCTTGTCAGTATTTTGGTATTTGGACTATTTAAAGAAAAATGAGGTGCCAGATTTTAACCTTTAACAAGTAGTATGCATGAAGAGAAAGGGAGACCTGCTCGAGGCTTAACACCTGTTACTCTTCAGTGGAGAGAAGTTTTTGACACGCTTAAAATACTAAAAGCTCTGCCAGAAGAAAAAACTGATACATCAAAAACATAGAAAATCTGCTTATAAACAATGAAACAGAAAGCTTTTCTCTAGGTCAAAGCAAAACCAGGCAAATGTTGGTTTTGTGGGCAATCTACAAAGATCCATTAAGCCTGGTAACATGAGCTATTGTCTTTTTTTTTTTTTTTAAAGCAAGCTGTGGGAGAAAATGAAGGCTTGCAGGCTAATGTGAAACAGCAGGAATTCATAAAGCCTGGAGAGGGTAGCAACATTAACATAAATTCAATAAAGCAAAAACGATACCTAAGATGGCATCACACAGAGACTGAGAGGAGTGAAATTGTTTAAAGTGAGTATAAGAGCAAAGAACCGATTTTCAGTGGTTCCAGCTGTACGCAGTCACATGCTGAGAACAGATCTAGTATAGAAATGACTCTAAACAAGGGCAAAGCTATACTTCTAAAGTAACTGTCCTTCAGGGAAATGAAAATACAAGCTATTACTTGAATGAAGCATATCATCTTTACAAGCAAAATTTACTCTTTTTAAGAAGAAATCATGCCGCTCAGGACTGCGTGGGAACACTAAGCGTGACTCCAGGCATACCTTCAAATTTGGCATTCACCATGACATACAAGTGCTCCCATGGGTAGGCGTTCAGGTCCCTGGAGACGGCGTGTAAACTTACAGTGGGATAATCCAGGGAGAAGCCAACTCCGGAGTTTTCCAGCCAAGACAAGCGGCTAACAAGGAGGAGGGAAAAAAAAGAAGAAAAAAAAAAAAAGAGAGACAAGTTAGAAACAAACAGAGGAATCTACGGTACCTGACTCCTGCCTGCAGAAAAGCAAACCGACCCCAAAAAAGTGAGTAACTCTGGACAGGGCACTTACCCCACGCTCAGGTAATACACAGTACTGGACCTGCTCTAACAGGACCTTGGCAAGGGCATTAACTGATGGCTGAGGTAAAAGAAACCTTTTCTTAAAGAATGTGAAGCTGAGCGCCCTAAACACATTGCAGCTTTAGCACATTCACACTAAACCCTGAATTTCCCTCCCTACCTCTTCATTTTCTCCTCCCTGTAGGTATCTGTAATCCTAAAGAGGTTCCAGAGTGTGATTTATAACTCAAACTATTAAATGTTCTGTGTTTTTTCAAGATACAGAGAACAGTAAAAGGAAAATCGCTTGTAATTTCTGGAATATTACAGATCTGATGCCAGTAAGTAGAAAAACACCCAATTCTGTGATCAGCAGAGGTAACAACGTCAGGTTGTTGTTTTTCTCTCCCTCACAACTTCTGTGCTGTAACCTCTGCTTCCCCTCATTTTCACTCTCATCCCTAACCACAGAGACAGCACAGGTTGTTGCCACTGAGCTGCTACTTCCTTCACAGCAGAAGGATCAGTGTCTTTCTAGCAGCCAAGAAATCAAACTCAAGCTTGGGTGTCTGTGATCAAATGAGGTCACACAGTGAACAGACATGCCGAGAGGCAGAAAGCGAGACCTCCACCACATGCAACACTCGGCATTCCGAAGTTTTCGAGGAGGGACAAAACCAATGAAAAGGTCACAGAAAGCTCGGGAAATCAAGCTGAGAGCAAGAGCTAGTGAAGTGGGAGTGAGGAATTTCTTTCCTAGCCTCGATCAGCCAGTTCTGAATGTTTACAGCAGTTGACGTGGAGTCAGCACAGGGATGGAAAGCCACATTGTGCTCCCGGGTGCCTGTGGTTCTCCCACAGCACGGCACTCCTGCAAACGCTGGCGTTTTCTATTCATTACCAGCAAATGACTCCAGTAAAAGCTCTGACACGCTCAAAACGTGTTGGGATGAAGCTGGCAGACTTGTGTGTGCCTCTCACACAAAATCTATTGAAAGCGAGTTACAAGGAAACTCGATGTCATACGTGTTGAGAGCAAGATGCTGCACGAACAGAAGCCCTTGTATCTGCAATGAAACAACTTAAGAAAACCGGAACTGAAATTCCAGAGAGATTCCTCACTAAGAGAAAGACAACACCACTAACAAGTTCAGGTAGGGCAAAAACCCCTCAAATAGTATCACCAGTTTTATAAACGCTTCATAGTCTAAAGGTTTTAAAAGACAATTCACGCCTCAGTGCATATTTCAGATGACACTTTTGTTCTAACAACACCGTTCTGCTGCAGAAACACACCACATTTAGAGTATTCCTTCACAAAAAAAAAAATTACCTTAATCACCAAGCTGTCTTCTTGAACTGTACAATAGAGAGGCTTTAAAGGAAACTATAAAGAGTTCAGATAACATCTTGCAGAATAACCGAACTGATTGCTTCCTAGTAAGAACACACAGTGCCCACGTGGTTAATGCCACGTGAGAGACTTCACAGCACCGCAGCACTTAATAACAGCAGAAAACCAACAGCCCCGTCCTCCCCCGTCTGTCAATGGAAGTGAGGTGCCGTGGTTTTAATGCACCGGCCAGCCGGGCTCCCTCGTTGTGCTCTTCTCTCCTGCATTGCTTAAAACACTATTTAGAGCAGGAATAGCGGGGACACCCCTCAGAGCTTGCCCCTCACAGCGCTCTTTAACGGCCTCCCCCACACGACGGCCCCCCCTTATCCAAGTCCCCCCACGTACAGTCACCTCAGGGGACAGAGCCCCTTAGGGGAGGCCGCACACTCCCCCCACCAGGGAAAAGACCCCTCGGGAGAGAGGCCCACACCCAGGCTCCCAGCCTGGTCTCCCCCACAGAAGGTTCCCCCCCAGGTTGACCCTCACAGAATAACCCCCACAGTCCCCTTAGGGAGGGCCCTCAAGGCCCTCACACGACGGTCCCGCAGCCCCCTCAGGGCAGCCCCCGCACCCCGAGGCCTTCGGGGGTGGTGCCCCGAGAACCGTGACACACACCCACCGCCCCCCCCCCTCACCTCTCGGCGATGTAGAGGGTGCCGGCGCCCAGGCTGCGCCCCGCCAGCACCGCCTCCGTGTCAGGCTGCTGGTGCCGAACGCCCTCGGCCGGCGGCGGGAACCGCTTGAGGAAACTCATGGCGCCGCCGCCGCTTCCCCCCTCCTCCACCATGGCCGCCTCCTCCTCCTCCTCCTCCTCCGCGGCCGCCGGAAGCGGAACCGCCGCGGCAGGCGCCGGAAGCGGAAGTCCTGGCGCTGACGGGCCTCTCTAGGCGCCTCTCGATGGTGCGGGCGGGTGGCGCGTGCCCGCGCTGCCGCCATGTTGGAGCCGTTCCCGCCTTTGGGGGTGGGCGACGGCCGCCCCCGCACAGAGAAATGGCCGCTCTCCTCAAAAACTGCGTACTTATAGCAACACGCGGTGATTTCTGAAAGTTGCCTAAGAATCCCGCTTGGCCCAGACCCTTCTGTGGATTCAGTGGAGTTTATAATCCGTTTTGGGGATTGGCTACAAGAAGAAAGTAGCGGGTAGCCCTGGGGTATGGATTACAAGGGTAAGTCACGGCCAGCAGGCTCACAGCCTTCACACGGGCACTTAGGCAAACTTAAACTTGACCAAAAGAACTCGAGATGCTCAATAGGGAGGAGGATCTCGCCGATTTAGGATGAAGACGCCTGAACTCTGCTTCACAGCCATGCCCTGGAAAGAGTGAAGACGACCCACGTACTTCTCCCCTTGACCACCAAAGGCCCTCACCCTGTTTCTACTACTCACGCTCACACTGTGCAAATGAGTTCTGAGAAATAATTACAATAATCACGCCTATTCCCTGAACTAATTGTAATAACCCGGCCTTTCCTAATGAATATGTATGCTTTGGCGTAACAAATACTTGGCTACTTGCCAGAGGCGATGTGCAAGCTTTGTGGAGAAATCCCCTTGCACCCCAGCTGGAATAAACATACCTGCTTTATAACTCTTTTCGAGGTGTAGAGTTTGTTTCTGCGCATCACCCTACACAGGCCTGAGGAATGGGGCAGAAACCAGAGGGCACCACCGGAGGCTGTCTTTTTCCCTGAAGTAATTTCCCCCTCGTCATCCACCTGCAGAGGAGGGGACGATGTTTCAGGCCAAAACATCCCTGTTCCTGAGGGTGAATTGTGGCTTGTCTCCAGAGGGATGCGGTTTGTTTCAGGAGCATCTATCTCTGGCAGGCTTGGAGCAGAATTTTTGTTATCTGGAAAAGAGAAGCAGAGAGGAGCGCTGAGGTGATCGCTAACAGTACTGCCTGATGACAGCTGATGAGCAGCATTTTAGCCAGTAAATCTCTGTTGGACAGGTGACAAAAGGAAAAATAAAAATAAACCAGCAGCTTTTTGGTAATTGTTATCAGATGCTGGAAAGGGAATTTTAGGTGGATGACCAGCACCCAATGCCTAACAGATACACACGGGGAAGAAAAAGAAAGTCACAAGTACCTGAATTGCTTAAAGAATATCCAGTGGATTTCCCTCAGCAGTGCTGAACTTGGGATCAGGAGCCCGATGCTACTGCAGTATGTACCTGGTGAGCTGCCTTCAGGGAGCTGGGGTAGTCTTGGGACAGCGGATTGCAGCGACGGGAAGGCTGCCGTTCCCCTCACCAACCCTGGCCCTGCTGCTTCACCTGGGTTTATACCATTTCTGGGAGTTTCTCTTGTGCCAGATACTAAACCAGTGAGAAACAGCGATTATATCAGAAGTAAGTGGTAGCATTCAGTCTGCACCAGCAAAGTACATCTCTGCCAGGGGATGCTCCTGTTAACTCCATCAGTGAGGCAGCATCTCTGCAAACATCTCTTCTCCATGACTTTTCAGGCTGGCAAATGCTTCTGTAGCAGAGCCCATGCAGGGGTTATTTTGTTGCCATGGTTCTTAATCTTCCCTTTCATCAGTGAGAGTTTACTTTTAAGCAGTCATTTACCTACCTGTGTGCAAACCCAGGTTCTCACAAACACTAACCCATTATTAACAGAATTAGGTCTCCATCTTTCCCTTCTCTGGACTTTTCTAGTCACAGTCTTGGATAGCAAAGAGCCAAGGCAGCACAAACCAGAAAAAAACAAAAACAAAACAAACAAAAAAAAAACCAACATGAAGAAACCAGGGGGAACAAGAACATAATGTGGTTCTTTTAGGCTGAGCTTTCTAAAATGCTTCGGAAAGCTCCTCAACCACACAATCCATTTCGGATTCTAATCAGGCAAATAATTATTTTTTTATACAAATAGCCACCTTGACTGAAATCAAAGCAACCTCCACAATGAAGTGATATTTAAACACTGCTGGAATAGCTAGGGAAAAAAAAAAAAAAAAACTTTTTCACGCCAAGACAAGTGCTCATCTGGAAACAAAAATTCATCCATGAATACAGATCAGACTGCAGCAGCTGGTGGGAAGAGATGCAAATATATGGAAACACCAGTTCACCATACTTAGCAGTTTTAAATCAATATTCCTGCTCGTATCCCCAGTTATCTAATGTGGCTCTCTGTATCAGCCATGGAGAGCCCTCACCACCTCTGTAGTTAACTGGAAACCACACAGCAACTCTTTTAGATCATTTTAAATTAAAATTTCTGACTGACAAGCTGAATTAGGCCACTGCAATGAAGCAATATAGAGCTTATTTCTGCTCCTGCACACAAATGTGACTCTTTCTTGTGTCACGTACCGCTTTTCCAAAAGAAGACAAGAAAAATGATCGTTTAAGCCCAAGCTGAGAGGTTGGTTTTGAGGCTGAGGCGTTAGGGAGGAGGAGAAATCTGCATCTTCCTTATTTACAACATACTTCATGCCCCAGCACCGAGTGTTGCCTCTAACACAAGTTTAGGGTGGCTAGGCAGACATTTCCTTTACGTTCAATGAACAAACCAGGATGGCACTATTTGAAAGCTCCCTTCCAGAGCTGCAAGAGCTTTCAAAAGTGAGTTAGGATCCACCCCCATACCGAACCTCAACATTGGATGTCCAAGAGTGATTTAGTCAACCAGAGCTGTGTTTAGAGGCAACAGACACCTTCACAGGGTTAAGAGTCACTAAGGACAGAAGGTAGGACTCCCCACCCAAGGGAGCTTGTTTCTCTCAGCTGCCTGCACAGCACTGCCTTGCTGTAAGGTGGCCAGTTCAGTCATAAACACCCAGAATCCGTTAAAAATGCAAATGCAGAATTTTGGCATTGCATTTGGAGCAAGAGGGTGGATTTCACAGCAATTTCTCATCACTACAGGAACACACAGTAGCTTGATTATAACCACAGACACATTCAAAGAAAAAAAAAGATTGACATGCTTCAGCGATTCACATAGAAACCCCCTTTTTTTTTTTTTTTTTGATTCACTTCCTTTCTCCTGACTTTTTCCTGTTAAAGTCCTAAAATGTCATCGATGTCCACTGCCATAGCCACGTGTCAGAACATCTACATCTTCAGGGCTTCTCTGCAGGCTTCCAGTTAGTGGTTTTACAGGTCTCAGCCTAAATAAATGAATCTAGCTCCTCTCCGACTGGCACCAAATGGAAACCTCACGGATGTATGGCTGGAACAGCCTAGATAGGAACGACGGCAGTTGCAGGTAAGACCCTCGTGAACAAATACTGCTAGCAACCAGGCAGATTTTCTCCCAATCTGTAAGAATTCACCACTAATTTAGCAATTACACAATTCCAACAGCAAATGGGACATTGCAGCATAAGGCAAGCCCTGAACCCAGTTCAAGCTTTGTCAAGTGACTGCAACATCACTATGAAAGTAGATATAAAAATTATATAGAAAATGGAACATGCGCAGAAAATCATCACAACTGCAAAAATAAATCCATCAGGTCTTCCCCGCTGTCAGCCAGAGCTGGTCAAAGAAATACTCTGTCAGTTGAGGTGTTATAACAAAATCAACATAAAAGAGGAGTTCTCCATTCCCATGGCAGGCAGCAGCACCATCTCGGGCTGGAAGGATGGGCAGCAGCCATTACTCTGCTCGTTTTAAAAGCCAAAAAGAAACATATTTGCACGTGTGATGACCATTAAAAAGCACCTTTTGCTTCAATACACATTATACTTTGTACATCAAGTTATTTCAATTTTTTTTTTATTATGACAATTTACATGTCATATTTATATGAAAGAAATGACAGTAGGTATTATAACAAAAACATTATGAAAGAAAAGTTACACAATTAGGCCTACAAGCTATAAAATGGCTTCAGGCCCAGCTTATACACAAAGAGTTCTGACCAGACTGTAGTGAGAGACAACGCTGAACAATTCATTAACAAAAATATTGGCACCAGCCTTAACATTTTTTTTTTTTACTTCATTTACAAGGAATACAGTATTTAAACAGTTGTGTACTGCAAATCTAAAAACATTAGCTGTTAATAAACTGCAGTTAACCCTTTGAGCACTGAGGCCACCATGACTTCCATTTAAAAAAAGTATTAATGCATCGTGTTTTACATGCACACGGTATACTGGTGTGTGTGTGTGTGGGGAAGACAGTGAAAGCACCATCCAGTTTATGTGCAACAAGAATAACACTTCCAGTTTTTTCCCCTTGAGGTTCTTTGAGTAAGGCCTCTTGCCAAGAGTTCAGACACAGCAATTAGAAGACAGCAGCAAACAGAAACCAAGTCCAACTACGTCATTAGCTCCTGATATACGAAGGGTAACTGAGACACTTTAATGGAGAGAAATCTTGGAGGTGACATACTTCATAAATGAGCAATTTAGAAAAAAAGCGTCTCTGCTTCTCAAGTACTGTTAGAGCAAGCCTTTCATTAAAAAAAATCAGGAAGATGTAATGATTTTCTAATGTAATTCAACATGTACAAATTCAGACTACCAAAGAGTTGATTGTTCAGCACTGATACTCCTACAAGATTTCAACACTAAGGGATTTTTTGGTAGTTTGGTGATGTCATTTCCCATTTTAAAATCAAGAATATGCTCAGGTTTAGAAGACTCGATCACAAGAAGACAGCAACTGCAGTGAAACTCCGAGTTCTTAATTCTACCACCCTTCTGGTTAGATTAACACAGCACGTTTGTTAATTACAAAAGATCTACTGTGCACTTGTGTCATTGACAGACGCAAGAGCTGCATGCAAGAAAGGAAATAACCATGCTTTATCTTGGCAACACAAAAAAAGTCCAGTCCTCTACTTGATCTATAGGTTTTCCCTC